GATAAGTATGGTGATTTGAATGGATTAAAGAATTAGACATAAGACCTGAAACCATAAAATACATAGAAGGAAATATAGGCGAAACACTACGTGATTTGCACATCAAAGACATCTTTACAGACACATCACCCAAAGCAGTGATAGTGAAGGCAAAGATAAACAGCTGGGACTACATCAAATTAAAGAGCTTCTGCACAGCAAAAGAGACAATAACAAAAACAAAGAGAAACCCCACCAACTGGGAGAACATTTTTGCACCCAACACTAATGATAAAGGACTGATCACAAAAATCTGCAAAGAGCTGATGAGACTCAACAACAACAAAGAAAATAATCCAGTCAAAAAATGGGCAGAAGAGCTAAAAAGAAACTTCTCTGAAGAGGAAATGCAAATGGCCAACAGGCATATGAAAAAATGTTCAACATCACTTGTCATCAGGGAAATGCAAATCAAAACTACCATGAGATACCATCTTACACCAGTGAGAATGGCACATATTAAAAAAACTAGCAACAACAAATGTTGGCGAGGGTGTGGAGAAAAAGGAACTCTTCTGCACTGTTGGTGGGAGTGCAAACTGGTCCAACCACTGTGGAAAGCTGTGTGGAGATTTCTGGACCTACTAAACATAGAGCTTCCATATGATCCAGCAATTCCACTCCTAGGTATTTACCCAAAGGACACAGAAACATCAATTCCAAAGAACACCTGCACCCCTATGTTTATAGCAGCACTGTCTACAATAGCTAAGCTTTGGAAACAACCCAAATGCCCAAAAATCGATGACTGGATCAAGAAGATGTGGTACATATATACCATGGAATATTACTCAGCATTCAAAAAAGATAAACACATGCAATTTGCAGCAACATGGATGGCGCTGGAAGGGATCATGCTCAGCGAAATAAGCCAAAAAGAAAAAGAAAAATACCGGATGGTCTCACTCATAGCAGGAATCTAGAAAACTTAAATAAGGGACCAGGAGAATGAATAACTATAAGAAAGTGAAAATCAAAATCAACAAAAAACTATGAACCAGAGACACTTTTTGGGGAGTGAGGGGCGGGAGGGAGGGATTGGGGTCAGAATGGGGGGGCTGCAATTGTATGTGGAATATAAAAATAAAATTTATTATTTAAAAAAAAAAAAAAGTATGGTGATTTGAGGAGACCAGATATTGTTTTCTTGATTTATACAGCTGGTTGTAATTTACAATGAAAATATAAATATTGCAGAACTCACGAATCTGCTGATGACAAGATTGATATTTTCCTCCAAAATCAAAAAAGGTTTTCAGCATTACATGAGCATTTTGTCCTCTCCTGATGTCATCTCTCTCCAGTGGTCATCAGAGAGGTAGAGTGTGCTTTTGTGTTCTAAAATGACCCCACTCTTAAAACCTGGTCCAAAAGAGCAACTACAGTGAGTCATTTCTAATAGAGTATCAATTTACTATGTTTTGTATTTTACAAACATGTAAACTGAATATTTCTAAACATACAAGTTTGATGACAAAAACTGAACATTCACAACAAAAAAGAATGCTCGTGTGTGTGTCTGTGTGTGTTACATAAACTGAGTAGTGACTTTTTTTTTAACTATCCTTAAATCACTGCAGAAAGTAGTCAAGGCAGAATGGACTCAGTGGGAGTATGCTCGTAGGACCTGTACCTTCTGTACCAATTTACTTTTGGTTGTACTAAGAGATAATATCATGATCTCCTTGCAATGAGCCACCTATTGCAATGCACGAGGTACATATGATCTACCAAAGTGAAGAGAAGCTTCCAATACTTAACATTTGCCAGTTCACCTGCAATGGTTTGGGGTCACTGATAATCTCTATGGGAGCTTTCTGGTAAATTTTATACTACAGATGGTCTTTGTTTTTCAACTGTTTCTTGGCCATTTATTCCTCCATTCTTTTCCCTATTACTTTTACTGAACAAGTCGTCCCTCATACCTTGTTCATGGCAAAATATAAGCGATCCTGAAGGGGTTGGGGGAAGATAGTGGGTACAGAGACTTCAAAAGGAAGGTTATCTTTTCCCTCTGCAGATGCTGGCAGACAGAATAGAAGGGGAAACACTAACAGAGAAGGAGAAATAATCAGAAATCAATCTGGGACCATCTCAGGAGTGTTTTCATGATGAGATGATTCAGGACCACGCACAAAAATTGGCAGAGTATCATGTCCCTCTCAGTGGCTCCAGCACGGGATGTGTCCAACAACTTGAGGTGGCAATGGAATGATTACTTATCGTTTCTACTATCATTCTTCTCTGGGGGTTCTAAAAGCCTTCTATCTCTAAACCCAGATCATCTCAGCATTGCCATTACTAAAAACCTTTTTCCAGTTGTTCTTAAAAAAAAAATTACTGTCCACAGGGCGTTGCTTTGATTAACACACCCCTCTTATGGATATTAAATCAAAAAAATGCCACTTCACCATAAGGCACAGAGAGTGCTCCCAAGAGTAAAATTATATCTCATATTTAATCAGGCCAGCAGTTGAAAAGATCAAATATAACCTTTTACTTGGAATCATCCTAACAAGCACAATAAAAGGCATTTATGTTTTCATTGTCATATAAATATTTGGCACACAAATTTTAAATTCATGCAAAATATATCCTTTTTCTAAGTCTTAAGGATCCCAACTAGGCCCTCTTATTAACACTTTTTCTAGGATTAGGCATCCTCGGAGGTAATCTAATCACAATTCAGTTTGAGCCTCAGTTGAATTTGTGTGTGTGTGTGTGTGTGTGTGTGTGCATTTTATTTATTTATTTATACAAGCACTGGGTACAGTGAGAAACATGGGAGGGTGAGAGAATTCACCAGTCAGAGCCAGGGGCAGAACAGACAGACTGACAAAATACACTGCTGAGGGGAGCAGCGGGCAACAGGAGAGGTCTGCTCACCATGTGGAACCCTCGCTGGTGGCCGGGGATCGAACCGGCGCTGCAGAGGCTGCGGGCAGTTTCGCAACCCAGCGCTCAACCACTGCACCACCAGGGAGGTCCAAGCCTCAGCTGAATTTTAAGGAAATCTGCCCCCCTCACCAGTACCCCTGCACACATTCCCCTGCCAGTTCAAGAAAAATCAGAAGAGACTGAAATGTGAAGGTGCAAGCCAAACTGAAAAAGGAAACCCTTTCCTATAGTAGTCAGAGCTCAATTATTTGGTACATGATTTACTTTCAACCTTCAGATCAAGAGCAGAATTTGGAAAGGAAATAAATCCATTTTGTAAGAAGATCATTTCACCTGCTTAACCTTCTGATCAAATCAAGAAGAATGGTCTGATCTAAATGTTCTTAACATGTGAGAAAAAAACGTGAGTAGTCTCAAAACTCTAGATAGAGCAAATACATAAGACACGTGTCCAGGAGCCCAGTCTCCTTGCTTTCTGTCTTTATTTCATCCTCTGTATCACCAACTGTTTGAAGCAGAATCCTTTCAAAAGTTAACCTAGAGCTGCGCGCTGGAGAACCAAAATTAAATATTAAAACCATAGAGGCTGAAATAAAATGATGCTGAATGCTTAATCCTATAAACTTTGAAAACTCACTAACCAAGAGAAAGGTAATTTTGATTCATATTCAGAATGCATTCAAAATGACTCTTGACCAGATGAATTCAAGTGTAGCCTGGTCAGGTGAAGCGTGGCAGACTCAGGCTAGGGGCTGGCTTTTGTCAGCTTATTTCTTGATTTAGCACTGAATTTTGATCCTGAAGCTAGGCCATGGTGAAATTTCCAATTATTCAATCTCTCAGTATGTAATAATGAAGTCAAAGAGTACAATGATACGTATATCAGAACAGGGTGAAGGTTAAAGTAGACAAGAAAAAGATACAAACCCAAACTTCTTTCTCTGCCGCCGCCTCCTGTTTCCCTTTCAGACTGGGTTAGTTTATTTCCAAGATTTCACATCATCAATCTGACGAAGTTCACTATTTAAATTAACAGCAACACAAACTCCCACAAAGTGCTATCTCACTACCTCGGTTGGGTATTTGAGCTTGTCTAGCGGTTGTGTTTTATGCTACTGACACACTAACAACCTTTTAGAATTGGCACCCGCAATTCTAATTGCAACTGAGTTTAAAACTGCTACAACTTCATGTTTGTGTAGTCAAACCTTTGCTTTCTCCCCTAAAAAACAAAATGAATGTGCTTCCAGTACTAAAACTTCAAAGAACACATTTTTAATTTATATTCCTGCTGAAGAAACTGAGTCACTCAAATGACACTAGAACAACCTATTTGGTTTTTCCTTGCAATCAGCAGTGGCCTGTAAGTAACCTTGAAGACACTTTGATAATCACTTTGATAAACCTCAAGGCAGAAGCCACATCACCAAATGCCTTGGGACCGCACCAAAAGATTAGCTGATCTTTTACCTCATTAAAAAATGAATCACTTAGTTGAAAAATTCCACTTCCATTTCTTTTCACTGATTTCTTAAATATCTGGTGAGTGGTGATTTGTCAGCTGTCATAATTCATTTGGCCTACGCTTTTATGCAGATTGAATTTTTAACTTTGAACAACTAAGCGCCAACTCAGTGTTACCTTCAGAAGTAAATTACCACAGGAACTCGCCTCACAGCCTTGCTGGGGGGCGGGGAGGGGATATCACCCTCATGTCCCCCATTTAAGAGAGGTCTGTCATGTTTCCTCAGGCTCACTTTAAGAATCGGATTCTGAAAAGTCACCGACCGTCCCATCGTATTTTCAACAGTGAAAAAAAAAAAAAAATGTTTCTTGTATGGAAAAGGTTTCATCACTAGAGGAAACACGAGTTAGCTGACTGTATATGATTCTGCTTTCCCAGAAGCTGAAGCTTTTACAAACCATTTCATTCCCACCAACTACCCCAGCACCGGAAGGAGGGTGGCAATGGGCGAGAAGAAAAAGAACAAGCAAACTCAAGCCTGGAACCCAAATATAAAGCTTAAGGGACAGCAGCTGAGAAGCACCAAAAACCACCTTACCTTTGTTATGTATTTGGAGTCGCCCACTTCGGAAATTAACACCATTCACAGCCCGGTAGCAATTGACACAGCTAGGAAGTCACCTACCACATCTCGTCGGCCTCCCTCTTTTTAATGTAAAACCAAAATAAGGAGTGTCCAGCTACTCCCCACCGCGCCGCTTTAAAGCAACAGATCGTTTTTAGGCTCAACTCCCAGGCTCTGGGAATTCCAGTGGGTCAGAATTTCCCAACCTTGGAGACCTGCAGAGAGAAACTCTCCACCAGGACGACTCCCCCAGCCCCGGCTTCTCCCAGTCCCCAGCCGCACATTCCAGAGTGGGCAGCAGCAGCGATGCCCAGGAGGCGGCTCTCGGGGCGAGGCTGCGGGCCGAGCGGTGCCGGGTCCACCCCGGCGGGTCCACCCCGGGAGCCGGGCTGCGTCCGGCGCGGCGCGCGGGGAGCGCTCGGAGGCTGCTCGCCCAGCTCGCGCGCGCTCCCTCCGCCCGCCCCCGGCCGCCCTCCCCCAGCCGAGGCCATTCGCCTCACAGTAGCAAGGTTGTCTCTCGTCGACTCCCTTCCCTTAAACTCACCAAACCAGATTTTTACTCCCAACACCGGCAACTTCCCGTAAATCTGCACTGAAATTTTATCCTGCTCGCCGAGCCTCGGCTGGCTAAGGGCCAGTGCAACATTCCTGTTGTTTTAGGAGCGCAGATACCTTGGCTGAAGGTGAAAAAAAAAATCTGCCTCGATGGGAGCGATTGGGGGACTTCGCTCGACAGGCTTCTCGCCCCCCTCAGAGGGTCACATCCATTTCTGACGTGCAGGCATGGCCCCAGAGTGGCACCTGCTCCACCTGAGGACAGGCGTCCGGAGCAGACGTCAGGCCCCCGTCGGGTTGTTCCGAGAAACCAAACACAACCAAGTGCGAGGAAGAAGGAACCTGCTGTTGAGTCACGAGCCGATCAGTACCACCCACCCCCGTCCTTCTGTAGCAAAGAAGTCGTTGGACCAGGTAGGCTCCCGGCGAGCGCCCAGGCGCCTCTGAAGGCAGGGGGCACCTCCCGAGCGTCCTTACCTGAGGCGGACGGCTGCTCGACGGGCGCGCGCAGCAGAGTCACGCGGACAAGGCTCTGACCTTTGCCGAGGCCTCCGCAGCAGGGCCTGGGGCCTGGGCGCCGCTCCTTCAGAAGTGGCTCGTTTTAATGCGCTCTGACCTAAAGTTACAGCTGGTTTCTAGAAAGGGAACAAAAAACACTGCACTTGAAAACTGCGGCCAAGCCCTCCCTGAACCTTCAGTGATCTCTGGGGAGGTGGCTCTAACCCCCACCCTCTCCCCATCCCAAAGAAACCCGCAATCTGTGCCCCACCCCTGCGTATTACCTGTTTATACAAGAGTTAAGGAGCCTCACGCATTTCAATAGAGCGCTAAGCCTGCTTGTGGGCGCGTAATCGGCCAACAGGAATCGAATTCTGTGACTAAACAAACCAGAAGAGGAAGCAAGCACCACCAGGAACCTAAAACGGAGTTGTGATTTCGGGTTGCAATGTCATTCAACTGAAAAAAAAAAAACCTGTTTTTCGTAAAGCTACTTCAGTGAAGGACTTGTCCAAAACTGTAATTTTTTTTATTTTATTTTTATTTATTTATAATTAATTGATTGATTGATTGATTTTTTGCTAATTTAATGTGCTACTACACGCAGAGAGCTCAGAACAGTGCCTGGCATGCATAGCATTAGCTGCCATGATTATTGTTTGTAGCTGGATTCTGCCTGTTCTGAAAAAGTGGGCATCAAGACCCAGCACTGGGGCCTCCCCGGTGGCACAGCGGTTGAGCGCTGGGTTGCGAAGCTGCCTGCAGCCTCTGCAGCGCCGGTTCGATCCCCGGCTGCTCCCCAGCCACCGGAGGAGGGTCCCGCATGGCGCGCAGACCTCTCCCGCCGCCCGCTGCTCCCCTCAGCAGTGTACTTCGGTCCTTCTGCCTGCTCTGCTCCCCGCTCTGGCTCTGGTGAATTCTCTCGCCCTCCCGCGCTTCTGACTGTACCCAGTGCTTGTATAAATACATAAAATAAATAAATAAAGATAAATCTTTAAAAAAAAAAAAGACCCAGCACTGTCCCTGGCAAACTTGAAGGCCATGAGCAACTTTTTTAAACCTCTTTCAGCCTCTGGAAGATTCAAATGATGACATTTTTCCAAACTGTTTACCTACATGTGGGCAGTCTTAAATGTAATGGAAAATAAAGGTAAAGGAGTGTCCACCTGACTCTCATCTCACTTAAAAGTGGCAAGATTGATAGGACACCTGGAGGTAAATCCATGGAGGTCACTTAAGAAAGAAAACTGGGCACCCAGCATTCAGACCTGACTGTGTACTTTATTCTAACGTGGATGTCTGACCTGGGAGAGCTGTTTGTGCTGTTCTGGAAGAAGACAATGCTGGAGAAATAATGGTTATTGCCATTTGAAAACCAGTGTGACATAGTGGAAATCATTTTAAAACTCCTCGTAAATATTAAAGAGTGATTATTGAAGGTGAAGTTTGCTCAGGCCTGCCACCATTTCCCCTCATTAACTTCACTTTTAAAGAACTCACAAGTCCTTTCCTTGAGTGAGCTCCTTTGTACTGTACATGAACACTTTCACCCAATGCATCTTATCTGATCCTTACAGATCAGTCCTGTGAGCTACTTGATCCGCATTTTGCAGATGAAGACACTGAGGTCAATTAGATTACACTGAATGCTGAAACTAGTTCTCAGTTCTAGTTAAATCTAAAGGCACTATTTGCCACCTTTGCAGAAAATAATTGCTTAAAACCATCAGGGAATTTTAAAGCATTTCTGATCCCTTTGACAGTCACATGGGACAAAATTTAACTCAGACCAGCTACCCATTGCCAGGGGAGCAATGAAAGGCAGACAGTGGGAATCCAAGTTTCTCCCCCCACATCCCAGGGTGGCCTCTGCCAGGCATGAAATAGGGTCCACTCTTAAAACAACTTATAAGCCCCAGTTCCATGTTACCCTGGATTTTTCTTTTCCCAAAGAATCTGGATTGTGACCTTAAGAGTCTTTTGTTGTCAGGGACCATCTGAGAATTCAAGTGGGAACATTCTCAGGCTCACAGATTTTTCCACCTCAGAACAGGTTTTTCCATAGGAAGCACTGTGCCAAAGAATCTGCAGGAATAATGACCAGGAATAATGAGTTTGAAAGTGTGGAGGTCAGTGAACTGGAACTGGAGTCAAAGGCTTGACTTAAGGAGGCACAAGTCCCTGGACGTAAGTCCTTATGGCAGGTCACAGTCAGCTGCTTTTCTCAACTATTGCCCGCCCTTTTGCTTCTCCTTTCTGTTTTGCCCACTACCACCTATTAAATGGGTATTATTCTTGTTCGTAACTACTTCCTACAATCCACCCTAGGAATATGGTGAAAATAAAACAGAGTTTTAAGTGGTAGGCTTATAGACTGAGCATTCATTCTTTCTTCTCTGTGGCTGACCCTATGCCTATGTATTATTATTGTTGTAGGTCCCAGGCAAAGTCCATGATCAGGGGGTACTTTGTTTTGTTTTCTGCTTCCATCCTCCACTGTTGCTTACGTGCTACAGTGGATGTAAACAGCATGGAGCTGGGTTTCCCACAAATTTGATCTGAATCTCAATTTCATCTCTTAGCTATATCGGGCTGGGCAAATTGCTTACCTCAATTTCTTCATCTATAAAATTATAACACTACCTCTCTGGATTTCTGTAAGAGTAAAATGGGAGGTGAAATCTCAGCACATTTCCTGGCACAGTGAAGGTCCTTTAGAAAAGGTATTTCCCTCTGCACCTGGAAAGAAATCTACTCCAAGGCTCACAAAGAATTGTCTTTAACATAGTTAAATCATATATAAAAATTGAACTCAATACTATTCCAATAGCATTTGCCTCATCAATCCAGGAAAGCCTCAGATCTTTGTGAAGAATCTAAGTATAATAATAATCACTCATCTACATAACATTTCCAATGATATATTATTATCTCTGATCATCACAATCGCACCTATTAAATACAATTAGGCCCTTTGTATTCATAGTGCTGCATCAAGATAAAGAGCTTGGACTCAAAGTCAGCAAATCCAAGTTTTACATCCTGGTAGCCATGGGCTCACGGGTAAGTTACCTAATCCTGAGCCGATGGCAACACCTATATATAGGGCCAACACGAGGATAAATGAGATGCCGGGACCTCCCTGGTGGCACAGATGGTTGAGCACAGCGCTGTGAAGCTGTCCACAGCCTCTGCAGCACCAGTTCGATCCCCGCCAGCCTCGGAGCAACCCACATGGCCAGCAGACCTCTCCTGTCTCACCCGCTGCTCCCCATCAGCAGTGTATTTTAGTCATTTCGTTGTATTTCAGTCTGCCTGTTCTGCTCCCCACTCTGTCTCTGGTGAATTCTCTCACCCTCCCGCGCATCTGGCCTATACCCCGGTTCTAGTATAAATAAACAATAAATCTTTAAAAAAAAAAAATGAGATGCCACACAGAAAAGCACAGTACTCGACACACTCTAAGTTTTCAATACATGTTAGTTATTTAGCTTAAAGACCAAAGCCCATGTACTAAAATGGTATATGTGAGGCCTAAACAATGTACATAAAAAATAAATGCAAATTGCTTAGGACCATGCCTGGCACATAGTAATTGCTGTGTAATTGTTTGTATGATTGCTCTTACTGCTATTTATCTGTATAAGAGAGAAATTTAAAATTCTTATGAATTTAAGTTTAAAAACCTTATGACAGTGGCTATTTAGGTACTATTTAATAGTGAGATATCTTTTCAATGCTTTTATTTCTTTCCTCTTTTCCTTATGTTGCCTCATGTTATTTGAAACAGAGCAGTTGTCTCTGGATGAGATAAAATCACCCATCTGAATCCAAGTTTTCTATGGAGGCTGGGGTATTTTTCACAGCATAAACTATTTAGAAAATAGGCCCTCTTTGAATCTAGAACATGTAATTTGACCCAAAAGAGACCTTTCATCTCCATAGTTCTTACAGCTTCCCCTTTCCTCACCTGGTGGCCATTAGCTACCCAGGGAAGGCTTTTCTTAAAAATCTTTTATTTTAAAAAAGTTTATATTAAATCTTCATTGTGCATTTGTGCAAATTTATGACATGTTACTCCTGGGCACGCTTTAATCCAAAAGACTTAGCCCAGTGACTAACCTTAGAACACAGTCATCCGTCCATAGGTCAAAGGATGAGGGAGGGCCTTCAGAACTCTCTTAGGAGGGCATCTGGGTTTGCAGTTTCCATGCCACACCATAGGAGGGCCCCTAACTGAATTTTAAAAATGTCCTGAGTTCACAGAAAAGAGAATTAAATATAGCAGGGGTTCACCCCGA